ACCATGTAAAGCTGTTCGTTTCATTAATTTGATCTAGAGAGTGGTATTTAAGGTCAATGTGGTAAAAAAAACTGAATTATCATTAGTTTTTTTTAATGTGAAAGGTGATATCTGGTAGGTTCTACAAATGTTATGATAAATAATTTAAATTCACATTAAGTGACAGCACTGATATAAAATTAACTATGAACATCTTCCTGTAATGTTAGAATTTTCCGATAAGTTAAAACTAATATCGATTAAGGCTCGATCTCGTCTATAAGGCAGGTTCTTCAGCCAACCAAAATACAGTGTCAACTAAAAGTCCTCTTTTCGCTTCATTAGTTAGTAGGAACGTTTAAAATGGCTCTTGAGATATCCAAGATCGTCATCCTTTCGTGTTTCTACAGTTCAAAACTTAATTCGGTACACCCAAAATCAAAGTTTATTGATTTTGTTCAACTCTCCAGTTGGTCATCGTGAATGGAGATTCAATGTTAAGGTTGATGTTTTATTTAGACTGTGTATATAGCCTCTTTTAGTCTCAGTAACAATCAAAGTTGTCTAATCTGAACTCCTTTAACATTAGATATGCTTGAATCATTTTCTTTATCTAAATGTCGAAGCTGTTGTTGTTGTTTTAGCCCAAAGCTCTTTCCATCACAGGGAATCGATCTCCGGATTTTAGCATTGTAAGCCTCTAAATTTACCACTAATCCATCGGAGGCAATGGTTTGTTTTGGTTTAGTTGTATGTGTTTAATTAAGCGCAAAGCTACACCATGGACTATCTGTGCTTTGTTCATCAAGGGTATCGCTGAATCACGGAGGGGAGGGAGGTAAAATTATAGCATTCAGAATGAGAAGAGTGGTCTCCAGTCAATTAGGATAGTGTATGATAATCAATTGTGGGTAACTTTAACCATGCAGCATCGGGGGGGGGGGGATTAACAGTAATAAGGAGATCAAGCAACAAGATAAACAGTAATAAGGAGATCAAGCAACAAGATACGGGAAGAGTTGAGATTGGGCTAAGAAAGATAGGGACATTTTTCAGCTGATCACGTTTGACTGAACAGCTCACGAGACACTCCTATCTGACGTCATCATTCACACCAACCACTTAATGTTTCGGTGACTCTACAGTTCACCCAAAATTAGGTCATCAGGGTTTATACCTACGATTATTAACCTTGATCATGGTCAACTTTGTTTCTTTTCTTGTGAATCTAATAATATTTAATTTAAAGAGTTTATCCGTAAACTTTTAAGTAACACGTCTCGGTTGATTGATTATTTACACCAGTATGAATGTCTTTCTACTTATACGCCAACCAATACTGCATGCATATATATTATACCTGTGTGTAAAGCAAGTGTTCGTCCGTCTTCCTGGTGTCATAGGTTATCATGAGGAACTAAATGAACTCAGGTTGATCTCCCGACTCCACTCTAAAGATCGAGTTTAAATGGATACGAACCGTTCCGATTTAGCACATTTGGAACTAAATGAACTCAGACTGATCTCCCGACTCCACTCTAAAGATCGAGTTTAAATGGATACGAACCGTTCCGATTTAGCACATTTGGAACTAAATGAACTCAGACTGATCTCCCGACTCCACTCTAAAGATCGAGTTTAAATGGATACGAACCGTTCCGATTTAGCACATTTGGAACTAAATGAACTCAGGTTGATCTCCCGACTCCACTCTAAAGATCGAGTTTAAATGGATACGAACCGTTCCGATTGAGCACATTTATGCCACGAATAAGGTCTCGAGCAAGATCGGAAGTAAAAGTACGTAAAGCCGACATTAAACGAAAGTGACGAGTACCTTTCCACCAGACTCGTGAAACGGATCAAAACTGTGGAAGGGGGCGGCTGACGCCTCCATTTATAGCATTAATTTTTAAGCCGCTAATTTCGGGTACTTTGTTAGTAGCAGATATCCGTTATATAATCAACAGTGTTTTTTTCTGAGGAAAAACTTGTGCATGAAATCAGACGTTACTGCTGTTTCTGTGCGTTCTTTGATAATCCAGAATATATCTCTGGGACCCTTTGAACCAAAACACTATTTATAAAGGTTTTCTACTTACAAAATAATGACTGTTTAACAAAACTCATAAACATTCGTTTCATGAAAAGTTGACTGGTTACGTTACTGTTTGTTTGTTTCTTTTTTTGAATTTCGCGCAATGCTACACGAGGACTATCTGCGCTAGCCGTCCCTAATTTAGCAGTGTAAGACTAGAGGGAAGGCAACTAGTC